TTTTATTTTTATTAAAATTTTAAATATCACTTTTAAATTTTTTATATTATCTTTATTTCAAGTTTAAAATTATTAAATTATTTTAAGTACAAAATTTAAAGTATTTTTTAAAAGTTTATATTTGATATATTATCGGTGCATAGATTTTATACATTATCAATAAATTAAATGATATTATCTTATTAATAAACAAATATTAATTCTTAAATAAATATACAAAAATTAATAATTTTAAAAAAATTATTCATTAATTAGAAGATATTATTTTATTTATTTTATTAAAGAGATGATATTATTTTATTTATTAATAATATATAAAATTTATATGTAGATAATGTATTAAATATAAATTATTTCTTTAATCTTAATGCCTTTTTTAGCTTTTATTGTCAAATTCTTTGGTGCATTAACACCTGGACCACTATTTAAAGCTATTGGGGCGGTTTGATTAATTTTGGGGTTTTTTTCCCCTTTAGAATTGTTTCCCTTTTTCTTTTGGTTTTTTAAATGGTGAAATGGGGTTCTTGTGGCACACAAAATGATGCCATTGGTGGACTACTAAGTTCAAGCAAGGTGGGTTGAGATGCGAGACACGTGTCACTTATTCAACGGCCAATTGTCCAATAAAACATTGAAAATGACTTACAATGAAACGTGGCAAAAAAAAAAAAATCGATTTTAAAGTTGAGAATAATGTGCTGGAAAACAATGGGTTGATTGATATAATCCCATGATGGGTGGCATTGTGAACAGATTCCACACACCAAAATATTGTTCTTTTCTTTGTTTAATGCTTCATAAGAAATCTTAAGTTAGTTTATTGAGATATAAAATTACAATGCAAAATTGTAATTTATCCAAAATCCATTTTTCTCTTGTTTTATTTCAATTTGGCAGCTTAATCTAAAAATATAATTAAAAATGTCATAAAACCAACTAATATGATTTGCTTTTTTGAATGAATAAAGGCTTTACTTAGTTTGCTTCAAAACTTGGCTTTTCTTAATTATTTGACTATGCTACTATATATATTAGTATTAGAGATATTACAATTTGAAAATAAAAAAAATTATAAATATTAAAATACGAATCACATACTCATTAAATATTAATTTTTAAAAACTATTATATAAATCAACTGAATTATTAAATCTTGAGCTTTATACCTATATATATTAAACCAACTATATATATATATATAAGTTTTTAATTTATCTTTAAACACCTCCTACCTTATTATATATCTTGTTAAAAAGGATATTATACATCTAAACTTTCTCTCATGATTTTCAGGTGTCAGCTCTAATGATATGTTAACTGATTTAAGAGAAATTAACATATATATAAATATATATTCTTGTTTATTTAAGTAGTTAGTTTGTTCTTCCTTAAATCAATCGAGCTAAAACCCTGAGTTCTATTATTATTATTATTATTATTATTATTATTATAGTAAATTAATTCTATTTAAGTACTTTTTTTAGTAAAATATATATATATAGCACTTTTTATAACTTGGCTTGAACACCAAATTTACCTAAGTTTATAAGGTCAAGAAACCTAAACAGCGAGTAGAATGATTTTCATATAATATATCTTGAGAATTAAAATCAATATTTAAATATAGTCACTTTCTTCCTAGAAGATAGCACCGTTTATAGAGAACTAGTGTTTATTGTATTGAATAAGATGATATTTAATAAAAATTTTAATTAATATATTATTTTTAATTTAGTAAAAAATGCATTAAATTCAAATAAAATAAAATAAAATGATATTTAACTATCCTTAGCAGGTTAATTGGACTAATACAAGAATTATCTGGAGTGAAGCATGCGAGGGTTTATGGAACATCATTTTAATTTGCATTTCAGTAAATCAATTTGAAAATAAGTTTGAGAGTATGGTATGAAATTTTAAAAAATCATAATGGAAATTAAAACCAGAAAATAGGTGATATATATATATATAGACAAGTGTACGAGTAATTCATATAGACAAAAATATCTAGTGAATTAATTCATGAAAATTCAAGAACCAATAGAAGTTGTATAGGTGGGGATTTTCTTTTGAATTAGGCTTGAATAGATATAGGAGGAAGTCAACCTAGGCCTACAGGGTAACCTAACTTGGCTATTATAGGACACCAAAATTTTCAGTACATCAGTACCATTGCAATGCATCCAACAACACTTGAGTTTCCTTAGGGTTATAACTGCCAATTGAAGCATCTTCTTCTATTTACCAGGGAAAATATATACAACTTGTAGTATATAGTATGAAACCCCATCTCCATCTCCATATATTTTCTTTTTTTTTTTAATTGTATTTAGGGTAAGAGATATTTCTAAGTTTTATTTGAATTTTTTTTGTTTGAAAAATTTATTTTTCATGCATTAATTTGATATATTACATTTAAGATTTTACTTTCGGAATATCCGTAAGGACCGAACGTTAATTAACAAGAAAAGAAAATCCTGGACAAATTATCATGCTTAATGCCTTGCTTTCTTTTTGTAACACATTTTTATTTAATTTAGTACGAACATTTTACATGGGAAAAAGGGGAGATATATATATATATATATATATATGATCATTGCAAAGAGTTGGTATTATTAATTACTTTATGGTAAAAACTTCAAAGAAGGAAACAAATTTTTATAATGGAGATAGAAGAAAATATTTACTACATATTTTAGTATATTGCACATTCCTTTTATTCATGAATATAAATATATATATATATATCATTCTTTATGAGTTGAACACAGTTAATATATTATTATATGGTTTTATATAATAAAATTATTTAATTATATGGTTTTATTATTACACATCTTATTCATATTATTAAATGGTTTTATATGATATTTTAATGGTTCGCTTCAAACAAGAAAAATGCGGGCAGGCAATATTGCTGGAATTATGATCTTGCATGCGTGTATATGCCATAATAAGATCGCATTTAATATAAAATATATATGAGCCATAATAGTATTTTATTTTGAATTTATATTTGATGAATTGTAAATGCTATACACGATTGGTGAATCACACAAACTCTTCATAAAAAATTAATTTTAAATAAATTTTTAGGATTATGTGTATTTACTTTTTAAGATTTTAAAATTAATTTGATTATAAAATATCATTGTATGATTCATTGGCAATGTATAATATTTATAAATTGATAGTGTATTAAATATAAATAATTTTTTCATAATTAATATATCAAAATCACAAGCATTGTCTATTAATTTGACATGTAGTTTAACTAAGCTGGAACATATGTTAAATTAAGTTATCAAGATGATGAGGATATGGTGTGCTATGACTTTATAAGTAATACGACCCAAAAGTCCAAAAGCTACCACATTGAGAAAAAGATATATATATATATATATATATATATATAAAAGAATAATAATTAAAGAAAGAACAGTGCAGTATAATTAACCCAAGTGATCGACTTAAAATATTTTGAAGGAAAAAATGGTGTGCCACACGTTTCGAAAGGCAATTCCTTACCACAGTTGAATATGTTCTGGAGTAATATTACTAGGATGGATAGGCATAATGATAGAGATGGAGATATGAAGATAAGGGTAAAACAAAAAGAAAGGTGGTGTAGAGATGAGAGATGGATCCAAGAGGAGAAAAAATTAATCAAAATATATGATATAATGTAATATAATGGAAAAGGTTGAGGGGAAATGAGATGGCCTTACGTGTACCACTCAAAAGCAGCAACTGAGATGGAGCATTCTCCATGTTATTATCTCCTGACCTTTACTCTCATTGTCTGCGTTGCATGCACATGTTATATGAATAAAAATGCATTTGTTTTGGCTTTTATTATTGTTTTTGAGAGTGTTAGAATTGTAGAAGCAATATGGCAAGTGGAGGAGGAGGTGGAGGGGGTGGGTAACTGCTGAATGCAGAGGCACTGCTCCAATTTTTGTCATCTGAGAAGTAGACAGAGGTAATAATAGCTGGATTTTGTTTCTTCAGTTGAAGCAGGGCCCCCCCCTCATCACCCTCCACCCAAGCCCCAAGGTCCCTCTCTCCAGACTTCAGTAGATTCTTCTCTACTCCTCCCAATTATTATCATTCTTCCACTGCTTGCTTGCTTGCTTTGTTTGTTCTATAGACACACACATACTCTCTCTCTCTCTCTCTCTCTCTCTCCCCTACTCTTTTTAAGGCTTTGATTTTTGTTTTGATGCTTGCTATGACAAAACCCATGATAAACATGCATGGAATCACTGTTTGCACTTAACCCTTTGATTAAATTACTGTTAGAAAATAAGATAATTTATTAGTAGAAAATTCAGTGCATAAAATTAGTGCGAGAAAAGAAGGATCAGATCAGAAAAAGGGAAAACTCTTGAAGATTGGTCCAGTTTTAAAGCAAATGAAAGCTTTTGAGGATATAAAAATATATATAAACCTGGACTTAATTTGTGAATAAAGACATGGGTTGAAATGTAGATAAATAAATGTACTACTCCATACTAAAAGGCCGTGGTTTAAGGGATTAAAAAGCAGGAACAATCTTCAAGAATTTTCCTATTCTATGTATTAAGAAATGGGGATGGTTTTTAGGAAAAACTATTATGCTAATTTTCCCTTTTAGGTAGTGCTCAAGCTATATATAGCTTGTTGCCTTAAAGGGAAAGGAACAACAAGAACTTTTCCACACGTTTTTAAAACAACCGACAGCTTAACCCTTTTTTTTTGTGGTTTATTTTCCTCTCTTTTTCTCTCACTTCTCAATCAATCCAAAATATATAAGAAGTAATTGAAGTATGTCTATTTCATTCTACATTATTAATTAATACAACATGGGATTAAGAAAACAAAAAGACAAAAGAAAATGAAAGAAAATTAAATAAGAAAAGATCAGAAAAGGTGTCTTGTACAGCAGAAATTAGATTGGGAAAAGTCTTGAAAATAATTATAATTTCCACATTAAACTCTTTTATGAGGTGGGGCCAAAAATGGGGTAACTGAACTCTAATTAATGATCATTGGTGTCTGAGTTAGAGAGGAGAGGGTTTTTTTCAAGTGATGCAGACTTCACAAGTTCATCATTAATGCACAGTATCCCTTCGAAATCGACCTTGTTCTTGTTGTTAGTTTCCTTAGGGTTGGAGTACTCTTGTTGTTTTGTTGATATGGGCAATGGAGGAGGTTTATTGCTAGTTCGTGTGAGCACTCTTGCTCTTTCTACTTGAACCATCCAGTCTGTTCTACAAAGAACTAAAAGCATGAGGAATGCACAAGATGCTTGAGCTGCAAGCAAGCCAAGCCAGAGCCCGGCAAACCCCATTTTGATCACGAAGCCCATCAGGATAGCTACCGGCATTCCAACCAGGTAAAATGACCCCAAGTTTATGTTTGCTCCGATGGTTGGCCTGGCGCTACCTCTTAACACCCCACAACCAGTTGTTTGAGGGCAATTCCCAAGCTCACAAAGCCCAACAATTGGCAATGCAACTGCTGTCAGCTCAAGGATTTCAGCATCACTGGTGAAAAGCTTGCCCCACTGGTGTCTCATCAAGGTTGTGAACAACATCGCCGACAGGCCTATAGCTACGGCGCAAAAGAGAGAAACGATCATGGAAATGCGAGCTTTCCCAGGCCTGTCCGCGCCAAGTTCATTCCCGACTCTTGTGGATACTCCAACACTTAAAGCAGAAGGAAAGCAATAGACTAGAGAGGTTGTCTGAATAAGGATCCCCATGGAAGCAATGGTAGCCTTGGGGTTAGCAAGTAGGCCACACATCAATATCATGAATTCATACCACCACCATTCAAGGCAAACTGAGGCACAAGTTGGCACAGCAAGAGCAAGCAGAGAGGACCATCCCCTAAAACAGTCAGTGCTTGGAGTTACCCAAGAATCTTTATGTACACCTGAGAAGTACACGAATGAAGAGAGCAAGAGGACGAGGTTTAGATTAGTCCAAACCATAGCTATAGCCACCCCTGCTACACCAAGCTTGAAATGGACAACAAGAAGGAAATTCAATGGGAAGTGGAGAAGCACAGAGATGGCTGAACAGTAAGTTACAGGTAAAGTAATGCTTTGAGTCCTGAGGTAGATGCGAAGTGGGTGAAGTAGTGAAAGGAATAATAGGTCGGGAATGGAGAAAAGAATAAATGTATGAGCCACGGATGATATTTCTTGGTCTTGACCACACCAAAGAAGGATGGTTTTCATGTTGAACCACATGAAAGAGATAGGGATCGAAGCGGAGAGGAGGAGAAGCACCGTTCTCTGTAGGGTTAAGCCAAGAAGTTTCCATTGTTTGGCACCATAAGCTTGTCCACAAATGGGTTCCATTCCCATGGCTAAACCAGAGATTACAGAGTAGCCGGTAATATTTGCAACACCAATGGCAAGAGAGCCACCAGCAAGCTCAAGTTCACCAAGATAGCCAAGAAAAAGCATGGAGATCATGGCTCTTGAATATAGAAGCAAACTACTAATCGCTGTTGGGCCTGAGATCTTGCCTATGGCTTTGATTTCTTCCAGGGCCTGAATGCAAACAAAGCAAGAAAATAACCCGTTAGGCTTCTAAATGGCTACATAAACATAATATAGAAGCAAGTATTAGTTTGTGTTTAAATGACTGAAGCTGTTTCTATACCTCATAAAGAGTTGGCAACCTATGTAGTTGTTGTTCATCATCATTGGGAAGATCCGGAGTTTTATTGAAAGGGGTCTTGCTCAAAGGAAGAAATGGGAAGGACGTTGCAAAAGATGGCTTTGGGTTATACATAGCTAGAGGTTAGCTATCTTAATTTCTGGACAAAACAAGTTACGGGAAAAGAAAAGAAGGGAAGGGATGCCCTGTTTGTGCTTACGTGGTTTGTTTGTTTTGGAGAGGGAGAAAGTGGATATTTATACAGAGGGAATTGGGGCCTATACTTGGAGTTCTCAGAATGTGTCATTGTTACTATCGAAGGGAATGCTGGAAAAGCGCCTACTCAAAAATGCTTCGGAATTTGGAGGGGGGGGGGGGGGGGGGGGCCGCCCATCGTAGCTTTTTCGTCTTTTTTTATCTTTCTTTTTCCTCCATCTCTCTCTTCATCTCTTCTTTGAATTTGAAGGTTAGTCACTTCGAATTGTATTCCTTTTGTTCAACAACTGAGGCGGAGTACTTTGAGAGGAAGAGAGCAAGAACTCAAGTCTTTTGAGTGTGGAAGGGAACCATATAGACCCTTGTGCTCATCTTTTCTTTAATGATATTAGAAAGATATGGTGAAACCCGCGAAATTGTTTGGTATATTGATAATGTGGGGACCTTTTTTGGCATTTTGTGCTAATAAATAGTGGGTTTACTCTTAAGAGTTAAAATAAATTACCTTTTTGTTTAAGTGGATTATCTTGAAAACCAATCTCTCATCATTTGGGTTATTGCATACATTAATTTGTATTACTATATTGAGAGAGATAAAGAAGTTTATCTTGAATTTGTCAAGTGGGAGTGGATTGACAAGCAAATTAATTTGATCCGCCGCTTGGCGAAATAACAAGAGCATATTGGTATATTTTTTTGACAAAGGCCGCTAAACGCGATATGTATTAATAAATAACTTTGTAGGCAGATAAAAATTTGTTTACATGTTCAAAGGCAGCCATGTGTGTTCCATTTTCGCACAACACCTGTGATGAAGCACACTCCAAGCACGACCTCTTTTCTTTTTCTGCAAACATTGGAAGAACCGAACATCCCTCTTGACTACTTGCCTAATATGAGATGTGACAAGCTTTTGCTGGTGTCTGTGTTTCAGGCCCCATCTGTGCTGGATTTCGCTCTTTACTACATTCTTTTCCAGGGAATGAGTAAGAGAGTAAAGCTGAGATACTGGATCAGCATTGAAGCAAAAACTTGTGAAGTTTCTTTCTCTAACATATATGGCTACTGCTACTCCATCTGTGATAAAAAAGAAGCAAAAAAAAAAAAAAAAAAAAAGAAAGAATTGCCTACTGCTTCATCAAGAGTACGATTGAGTATTTGAGGGGAGGCGTTTAAATTTTATTTTAAAACATAGTGGGGGATAATATAGTAATACGAATAATAATCAAGGGTGGCGGTCTGGTATATATATATTAGCTGATGAGTTTAGTTTCCTGATCTCCAAGTTGCTGATTCCAAGGTATCGGGATTGCTGGGTTCCAAAGATTGCAAGATTTGAGAGCTGAGATGGGGCAAAGAAACTGCCCTGTTTTCGAAACGAAGGAACAAAGTCATGCTTTGTTTGTGGGAAACTTAAGAGCTTAAGGAAATGAACAAAACAACATGTGGGGATTTAGGGGTTCAAGCGACCAATGTGTCATATCCAGTGGATCCTTTTTCTTATAAAAAAATGGGTTCTTCTTATTGTTTGAAAAGGTTATCTTCATGGGTATGTGGAGGTAGGTAATGTGTAATGTATGGGACCACCAAGTGTGTTAATGGAGATAGGAGTAGATGGCTGTCTGGAAAACCGGCAGATGGAAGAAAGGGAACACTGAGAGACAATTACGTGCTCCAATTGCAACCATTTAGTTTGTATTCGTTATCTCACAACAGAGATGAGATTGTCGCTCTGCGGGAGAGAGAGCCCCCTTGGCTGTGTCTGCCAACCCTCCCATCACCCCATTCCCAAACAAGTAGATCAGCTTTACTTTTTGTTTTTTGTTTTTTGTTTTGCACAGTCTGTGCAACTGGGCAGCTTCAAGAATCAGTTTTGCTTCGTTTCTTGTTATAAGATAAGCATAAGATATTACTTATTCCCTGAAATCCATACCCCTCCCAATGTCAGACTCCATGTGTCTCTAGCTCGGTAAGTTGCTGTAGATGAGAGCAATGTGTCATGCAACTCAACCAAAACGGACAAATGTTCGTCTCAGATTTAAAAAAAAAAAATGATAGCTTATCTAATTGGGAAGTGGGGGTTCACCAGGGGTAGATCCCACACCAGATTGTAAAAATAGAAATTGACAGGTTCTAAGATACAGACTGAGTGAATGATGAGGATGCTATTCGTTTCTAGCGTTTAATCAGAAAAAAAGAAACTCAAAATAAAGAGAAAAAAAAAAAGCATTTTTGCACCTAGTCGTTGTTGAAGTGGAGTTCAGACAATTTTATTGGCAACACGAAGAGCCTCGAACAATACCAAATACAAGTTTCAATGGAAGAAAAGGATGCAACAGTGACAAGACCTTTCAGGATTTGACGTTAATAAAGATTACATTATACTACTTGTCTAGAAACTCGAACAAATTCATAGATTCCATTTTTTTTCCCCAAAAGAAGGTTGATGCCTTGAAAAGTAGTAGTATCTCTTAGCTACAAGTTCATATGTCAAACAAATTCAGCTTGATGGAATTTGATGCACAAAGAATGCAATGCTTGTGCACAAAGATACTCAGCTGTGTCTTTAATGATATGAAAATGGCACCAAAATCAATGCATTCATGCACATTATGCGAAGAAAGTTCTTCAAACAGGGGCTCCAGAGAAGCTAATAATGTTACACTGTTAATCAGCCACTAGACTATGATTTTCTTTTGCATGATTGTTTCTAACATATGCTGGATCAAATTTTTACTCTTAAAAAAGAGTCAGGGTCTTTTAAGTGCTTCTCTCAGGCCCCGATAGAAAGTGTTATGGGGGAAGCATCGAAAGCAAAACAGCCTTTTATGGACACTGATAAAGTGCAATGAACACAAGAATTTATTCCAACGTTCAGATGGCAAGCAAGCAACAAAATATATATATATAAGAAAACAGAACAATCATAAAGAGCACCCCTTCCATAAAAATGAATCAAGATTTTTTCAAAAAAAAAAAAATCAGAGCATAAAAGACGTCCCCATCAAGGTTTCATTCAGCACAACTCACATACTGTTTGCCATAAAGCATAATTCACCACCTTCATCCAACAAATTCGGGCACAAAATGCATGAGATTCCAATACATCATGATTGGGCCACAAATTGGACAATTGCAAGATTTCCTTTCACCCAAAAAAAAAAAAGTTTGATGTTTTCGTAAGGAATAGATCCCAATCAGCAGCAACTTATCTTGGCGCTAAGAAAGTAGTCTTGGGACTGAATCGACTGATTCTTGAATGCAACATACGAGGCTTTCACCAACATTTCCAGCAGGTGGACAGGTTTTTCAACAAAAAAAAAAAAATTCTCCACTGATTTTAGATAACTTGTCTCATCCAGAATTCAATGAAAGCTACAATATAGCTTTCTTTTTTGCTTTGGACAAAATTCATTGAAAGCTATAATATCTGTTAACATTACATTTAAGTTGCCATCATAAATAGGCAAAATAATACCCTATTAGTATTTTCATTTTCCGTCATTCCTTCCACGTGGTGTCCACCATTTCTATTCTGAAGGGAGGCCTCAATCAGTATTTCTGGAAACTTAGTTACTGTTCTAGAAACAATCTTGTTTTAGGTTTCTGGTTTCTGAATATTAGTTGTAAAGGTGTCAAGTTCTAAAAAACAAAAAAACTTCAAAATTTTTTATGTAGTCTAGTAACTCACAAATGATTTCCAACATAAAATACTGTTAGCTGAAAGCTTCAGCTCAATTACTAGTAGGAAACAATGGAAATGAAGCTACACCCAGACTTTCAATGTTTCAAATGAAAAATGAAACATCGCATTGGCAAACAAACCTTAGATCATAATGAGTTTATTGATCAATGAAGCAACAATAGCTACAAACAAATTCTTGCTATCTGAACAATTTAATATTCATGTTGATGGCATACAAAAAATAAGGTATAATAAAATACCTCATGGGAGGGCCCTGGGCTTCTGTGAACTACTTCGAGGGATAGCCAAGATTGCCATCAGTCCACTGGTGAGGGCTGCAACACCAGCTACAGCAAAAGCTGGCGAGTTTCCACCACCAAATAGTTGATCCCATGGCCCACTTCCCACAGACACCACAACCTGTTGTAACAACCAAAGTTTCACAACTTAAATAGCTAGAAGAAAAATAATAATAAGCAACAGAGTTTTATAAAATCATTTTAATGACCTTTATATATTTTTAAAAACATCCACAGAAACATAAGCAAGCCTCTGCTTCACCCAAATTTTCAAATGGTTATTCATCCAAGGTCTCCAAACTTTAATCTTTATAATCTGAGAATTAAAATATGTTCCTAAAAATTAATGTTTACATACACATAAACAAATAACCTTAATTTAAGTCAAATATAGCAACTTCATAAGACCATATCATTTCAAAATCAAGTTATATTTAAATACTAACAATTTACAGAAATAGAAAATTTACAGAAGGGTGAAAACTAAACCAAGAAGTGATACATTAATGAATAATCTTCCATCAAATTGTAGGAGTGGAAGTCTGGTTGCATCTAAACGGTTGATGCTAGTATGCATGCTTAAGTGATACATTAATAAATAATCTTCCATCAAATTTTAGGAGTGGAATCTGGTTGCATCTAAACGGTTGATGCTAGTATGCATGCTTATCTGTGTGCATGTATCTGTCTGTTAAAGAGAGTTCTTGCTCCTATTAAAATCCTTGGTGAGTTTAACATGAAATAACAACTCCTTCAAAAACTAATCATTATTCACTACAAACACGAGTTAACATGGTTCCAACTTATTAAATTATTTAAACGACATTCAGAAGAATGAATTGTTTAAACCTCATTTAAGAAATTTATAGGAAAGGCTGAAATCCAGTCCACTTCAATTTTTCAAATGGGTATTAATGAGTGAGATGATATTCATTTGGAACACAGTGGTCCTATCCTTGAGACGGCCTACTATATTTGAATGACATTAAGAAGAATGAATTGTTTAAACCTGATCTAAGAAATTTATAAGAAAGAATGAAATTGCAGTTCACTTCAAATCTTCAAATTTGTATCAATGAATGAGATGATCATTCAAAAACAGTGGTCCAATGCTTGACAGGCTGAAATCACATTTTTATTTCGAATTAGATAAACCATCAAACCAAAAAGTTAACAGAGGCTATCAGTGGTCCAATTATTGATGAAGATTGAGAGCCATCCAACAGGTGATTGTAGCATGTCAAGAATATATAATACTACCAAATAAATATTTTAGTGATATCTCCAAAAGGAGTATGTGAAAATGGACAGCGGCTTCTAGGCATGTAAATGCAGTACATGACTTTTAGCACTCCATGTGATAGCATGTTTCCCTTCATGATAAGACCAACTATAACAAAACTATTGTGACAACATTTCAACAAACAATTAGCTAATAAGAATACAATTTATGGACCCTGTCTTTTTATCATGAACAAACAAAAATTCCCTGCCCCAACAAGGTCTCCACCTCCCCATCCTCACCAGCTTGGTATCGGGGGCTTAATTCATGGATGGGAATGGGGATAGGGAAAAGTGAGACATTCCCTGCCCTGCCTGGACATCAATATAATTTTTAATATATTATATGATTAAGTTAGAAAAATTTTTAGATAAATTTTCTTGAGTAACTGTCATTTGGATTGACATCAATTCTTATTTAAGTAGATTATCTAAGAGTAATAGCTGCCAATTGAGCAAGTGAATATTACAACTTCTTAGTTCATTTAAAAAAAATCAGAATCAATTCAGAGGTCCTTTCCCCATCATGAATCCCATCATGAATCCATAGGGGCAGGGAGGGGATGTCAATTGAAATCAGGGACAGGGATGGGGCGAATTAATAAATACCAAACAAGTTCAATTTAAACCCCCCCAAAAAAGAAGAAGAAAGAAAGGAACAAGAAGATAGATCGCAAAAAATGAGTTCGGGTGCAAAGCAATACCTGTGGAATAACAATAGCAAGATTCAGGACACCCATGGATAATCCTGTGGAAAACAACCAAAAGAATCAGTGCCTTAACCACTTCTCCACATCGTTAAAAACAGAGAAAATTTCTAGATACAAAAATAAGAATATTGCTCACCTTGGCCAAGTCCCAAAGACTCAATACGAGTAGATATCAAGGCATAAGGAACACTATAAGTGATCTGCAATAAAAAACCAATAGCATTAGTTAAATGCACAAACTGAATGCTCCCAGAATTTTTTATTTTTGTTTTTAAAAAGAAAGAAGATCAATCGGGACATTAGCAGAACCAGGCTAACCTCAGGCCCCGTCATAGTTTGGGCCTGTTTTGAGATCCGACTATCATGCTAATAATATTGATCATTAAAGTAAGTCAATCGGATAAATGTTTTAGTACTTTCATGCCACAAGATTGAAGATTGATGATGTTTTATGCTTTGAACCAAGAAGATCAACAAGTTGAGATTGATTAAACTGTAATCTTCTGAATGCCAATGTAGAGTAGCCAGATGTCGATTATGCATGGTCCATGTGGAGAAAACAACTACAATCTCTATGCTTGTATTCTTGACAAATTCAATTAAATGATCACATGATTTCCTGTAGGAGGAAAAAAGCAGCTTACTGCCAATGGAACACCAAGAATGGCAAAAATCACTAGTGCAGCAATCACAATGCCATCTGGGGGTAGATCATGGCCAATAAAATCCATATGACTTGCCACATAAGATAGAATGAGCATTGAGAGAAAGCACAGAGCCATGAGAATGTTTGAAACTCCCCAGACAAAACCAGCTCCCCATTTGCTACAAAGCTTCTCCATAAGCACTGAAGTAATTCCCAGAACAACTGAATTCAACATCAATCCCAATGCGCCCATTCTGACCCCTGCATTATAATTCTCCCCTTCATTTGGCTGACCACCATAGATCTCTCGACCCATCCAGTCAGTATCAAAGAGAAGAAAAGGGAACCATCCAATCCAATTCAGAGCAGTAATAGACAAGATTATCCATATAGGGCCTGAGAAATATCTAAATGTTCCAAATAATTCCCATAAAAATGCTTCTTCAGCCTGGCCACCTAGCTGTTCAGGCGCCTCTCCGTGAACGGGTGTAGATCTATGACATGAACCTAGAGGCACTTCCTTAGCAGCTAAAACACTCAGATATGTTGTAATTGCAATAAAAACAATGTCTAGAAAGAAAGCAGACTTGAGATTTGCACAGTCAACATCACAGGCAGCTGTCCTGGTAAATGGAAGAATCTTAAACCAACCACTGTATGATCCTGTTGCATAGCCAAAAACATTGCCAACAGCCATGGATAGCGAGAAGTAAGCATTTGCCACTCGAGTTCTTCGATGATCCTTTCCTTAAATAAGAGAGAAAGACAGAAGACAATGTCAATTTGCAGCTGGTTTTTATATTTATACATTAAACAATGGAAGACACAAGTTTTTACTGTTATTTGACAATAAAAATAACCCCACCATTGTAATTTTGATTTGTTTGTTTGTATATTCACATGGCAAACATATAAACACAGGAATATCCTCACTTCCAGTTAGAATTGCAAGTCAGCAACAACAACTATCAAGTTTCATTTATTTATCCTAGTAAAAACTTTTTGACAGAGAAGTTTGGCTCCATGCTCATACAATCACATTGGAAGAAGTGTTTCATAAGAAATTTTAAACACGAAGATTTATCTCTTAATATGGAAATTTTAAGAGGAAAAAACAAAACAAAAAAAAAAAAGAGAAGAGTTTTACATGTCTAATTCAAAAAAAATTTTTGCAACCTAGTTCATGAAATTGCAGGAGCTCTTTGTAGTAAGTAGTTTTAAGCTCAAATAAAACTTAGGGACTTACAATGCATCACCCATGATTGCCGACAAATGTGGATGGAAACCATCCGATTAGCATTTATACCATATAAATGCTGAACAATCTCGGACTGTTTTTCATCCGCAAAGGAAATTAACTGATTACATAATATATTTATATTTGATACACTGTCGGTATATAGATTTTATATATTATATGTGAATAAGACAATATCATTTCATTAATAAAATAAATTAGATGATGTCATTATTAATGAGTAAATTTTTTAAAAATATTAATTTTTTATATTTATTTTAATGATTGATATTTGCTCATTAATATGATGACATCATCTAATTTAGTGACAATATATAAAATTTATACACTGATAACATATCAAATATAAACTCGTATATAATAGTTAAATGATCAGATCAAGGTCCATTTAATAAGACCCCAAATTGGTAACACTGTCTACTTCAACACTCTAAATTGGAACCAACCAAACTGAATTGGAGCAATCAAATAGTCCAACAAACTGTACAAAACCAATCTCTCAAAAAACTGTACGGAACCAAAATTTAAGAAAAAATTATAGTAATGTAATTATTATGACAACAAAAAACATGTATGTGAAGTGGCAGAACCGTCCACCGAATTTATGTTTTTAAAAAATTATAAAAACGTGATGTGTAATGACTCGTTTGCTTTACTCTTCAAAAAGATGCCAACGAAAACGAAATAATCATATTTCTCGCATAAAAAAATTAAGCTAACATTATCGTCTAGGGTTTTTAAATTATTCTCAGAAAAGGGAAAAAAAATAAAACTAACCAGTAAGATCAGCAAGAAGAGCTCTACAAGGACCTTGAGTCATGTTATTAGCAACATCAAGAATCCAAAACCCCAAAACAAACACCACGATAGCTCTAGGGCGATAGCTCCCTCTATCGCCGAACAACCACCCGATATCGGCAGAGTGACCGATGATCAAAACGGCTATGATAATGGAGACTGCACCAGCCACAATAAAAGGTCGGCGACGACCGAACTTGCTGGTGCATCGGTCACTCATGTGGCCCACCAGAGGCTGCACCAGGAGGCCTGAAAGCGGTCCGCAGAGCCATATGATGCTGGCCCACTTATGAGGTATACCTAGCTCTTGAACGTAAGGTGTCAAGAGAGAGAGCTGTAAGGCCCACCCGAATTGTATCCCGCACCCGACGGAGGCGACTCGAAGCAGCTGCCGGAGAGGAACTCTAACTCCAACCGGCGGTCGAGCCGCCGGTCGACTTGACGACGACGTTGGAGGTCTCCCTTTGGTTCGTTGGCGGTCAGCTTCGGGGATCGCCATCCCTTCCCTTTGAATTTCACAGTTCTTTCTTTCTTTCTCTCTCTATAACAGTTTCTGTTTCTCTCTCTAAAAGGAATTTTCTGATTCTCTGATCGTTGAAATTCGAGTTGCCGTTGATAGAGATGGCGATTCCATTTGAGAGAGAATGGAAAGAGTAGTGGCAGGTTAGACTGTGACGAGAGAATCAACAAAGAAATAGAAACAACATTAGAATTGAAGAAAATTACGAATAAAGCCACGCAGGAATAGGAGCTAGAAGTTAGGAGAATGACTGAATTGGCAATTTTGCAATTTTTGATCTATATAAAGGGCAAATTTCGGATCAGATATTTTTGCTGTTTCCGACAGTACCATAACCTCAACTGACAAGTTTTCCCTTAAAATAAGCTTTCAGTTTCGCAAATCTAGGGCTCGTCTTAAAATGACAAAAACACTCCTTTAAAATACAAAACGACATGGTCATTTTAGAGAAAACAGAAACAAATTGCAATAATTAAAGATTTTCTGTTGTGCCAAGAGTGGTTTAGGCCTGTAGTGGTATATGTTTCTGTTTAAAATTTACATAAAATATGAAAATTATATAATTTTAATTTTTGTATATATATATATATAATATGTTATAGATGAATTTTTTTATTTTTTAAATTTATATATAAATTTATTAAAATTTTAAAAATTATATTATTTTTATATACTTTTTAAATCATATAATGTATCATACTTTAAAAAAAGGTATAAAAAACCCTTGGATTATAATTAAAAAATTATTTAAGTTTTTTTATTATAATAAGTTAATTATTTCAATATTTATATCTAATTAAATTTTTATTTAGATAAAAAATTTAATATCGTTAAAGTTTTAACCAATTAAGATAAAATTTTATATGATATCAATAAAATAAATAAAAGTTTGTCATATAATATAATTAATATTTGAAAAAAATAAAATAAAATTTTATTCATATCTTTTTTTAATTTATTCTCTCCTTTTCTCTTTAAGATCTTTTTAAATAAAATATTAAAAATTTAAATATTATTAAATCATAATTTTTATAAATAATTTTTCCCTTTAACATATTTAAAATTGTGAAGTTATTATCCTTGGTTTTTGGTGTCCCAATATTGGCTGAACTTTCATCTTTTAGCATGCGCTCTTATTCTTTTTTTAAAAAAGAATGAAAAGTTGAGATATTTGTATAGTTTTTGGTTGATAAAGTTAAAATAAAGAGCTTGTGCTAATTTGCCAAGTACACTCGAAGGATTGCTTCGTTTTCTTGCTATTTGGTTGTCGTTTTATCCCTGTCCGATAATTCTTTCTTTCTTCCAGTTTCTCTCTCTCTCTCTTTTCTCTGTTGATATAATATTAATGATTGCTTTCCAATACAATTATATATCAAACGTTTTCTTTATGTGGCAACAAATTAAGTGGGGCTCGATATTAGAGGTTGGTTACACGATTTTTTAGCCTGCCCTTTGACTTTGCTTCGTATTGTCGGTTTAATTTGTCCAGGTGTCACTACTTTTTTCAGTCTTTTCAACACACCCAAAGATATGACGTTAATCGAATCCGGACTTAATTCGTGTTATTCATGTGATTTTTTTTAAAAAAAATAATATTTAATAAATTAAAATTTTGAATTATTTTAATTATTTTTATTTTTAAATTAGTATTTTTCAAAAAAATTACTTTAATTAATTAAAATGGTAATTTTAGTTATGGTCACTGATTAAAGATAAGTAAGCCAAGTTTGATGATCATTGCTGTTCGGATGACAGACATGGCATTTTAGAACACGTGCGTGTATAATTACTTGCTTTATTATAGTCAGGATGCTGATCTGGTTTTTAAATAGGAGCATATTAAATTAAATTGTAAGTACAACTCATTTTTTAAATTTGATAATCTAAATTATAATATAATAATATAATATAAATATGATATAAATAAAAAATATAAAAATAATATGATTTAAATATAATAATAATATATAAATTTAATAAAATTAAAAATATATATTTTTATTTTATATTAATATGAATTATAATATATAATTTTTATATAAAATACAATATAAATATAAAATTTTAATATTTTACATATTACATATACATAAATTATTAGATCTATCTTCATTTACACGCTTATAAAGCAAATAGATTTATGAGGTTTGCAAACATACAGGAATATCAGCTTTCTTCAGCTTCTTTTGTTGGCACTTCAGTTTTTTCAATTTTTATTTTGTATTATATATTATTATTTCTTACATGTTTGATGATAAATTTTTAATCTCAAGTAACGGAGATTTACTGATTTAGGAAAGTTATCCCTTAAATTTGAAACCCTATGCAAATTAGGGCAAAATCGAGGATAAGACGTAATTTACAATCCAATAATAAAAACAAAACGTAGAGTTGCAAGGAGGAGAACAAATCTTGGGTTAGGCACATGATCTCAGGAGGTTCACGTCGACGACAAAAGCTGCAGATGATCGGTTGCGCACTTTAAGAGAAAAACAGATGAGGTAGTCCTACATGTACTTTATACACCCAAGTTGGCAGAAAATGTCGATGCCTTGGATTTGGGCCCCCGGGTTTTCTCGTCACTATGATAAATCGCTAGACATATATTTTGTTGTCAGTGCTTTCACGTTTGGTATCTTTCAATGAATTTTTCCTTTGTTGGAAAAAAAAAAAAAAAAAAGCGAGTTGCTTGTGCCCTATTTATAATATATTTTGAGATTACCTTTTTTATCTCTTGATTTTAAAAAAATCATATGAACGTAATTTTTAATTACATTATTTTTTTTATATGGATGTTTACTTTTCTTTGAACAAAAAAAAATATATATTTTGAGATTATTAATTTTTCACATTAAAATTATTTATAAAGTTTTAGATTTAATAATTTTGTATAATTTATATATTTCAATGACTCTTATAATTGATAAATATTAATAGAAATTATGAACAAATAAATCAAATATTATTAAAAATGATATTAAAATGATGCAAAATAATCACATTTTTCGAAGTTATCGATTTTTTTTACCCAAGTTATCAAAAAAATTATAAGGGTAGTAAGAAGAGCTATAAAGGTATATTCAAATTTAGTAACTGCATATTTAATATTTTTCAATCTTATATTATTGAATATCCATAAAAATTACTTACAAATATATTCCAATGTTGCTAAAAGTTACATTAAATAATTATATTTTAAGGTTACTGAGTTTGTTATACCAGGATTACAAAACAAATTATAAAAATAGCTTATATCCAATAACTAATATTTTGTTAGTAAATTCCATGTTACTGAATATCTATAGAAAGTTACTAAAAATTATATAAATGCTACTTGAAGTAATAATATTTTAAAATAATAATTATATAAATGACATATCATAAAAAAGGAAGCCCAATATCAAGGCCCATTTTAGAGTTTAGAACCTTATTTATTCTTCACCACAGCTCAGTAGCTAGAAGTAAACCAAGCCCTTCTCAGACCTTACTATTCTATGATATTGGTTCCCATAGCCCACTTTCTGGAAAAAGGCCACTCTTGTAGTCTGGTGTTCATGGGCACAAGAAGGGAGAAAGTGATTTCAGCTTGCATTAATATGAAGCATTGGTTTCTGCGTACAGCCCGTGTCGGTGGTAGATTTTCTGGATTGTGCAAACATTTTCTTTTTGCTCTTTTTCAGTTTGAGGGCTGAATGGCTGACCATTGGCTAACAATAGGCTGAAGCCATCACCGCCACAACACTAGTCTTTTTCCATTGAGCAAACGCCATTCGCTTCCCAGTAGACCACTTGAATTCCAACAAAAGCATGGAAGAAAAGCAGAAGGTTTCCAAATGCTTAATCCTGAAGAAAGTTGAAATATTATTTTGACTCCTCCGTACATCGAAGAGGAACTATCCTTTAAAATAGTAATTTAAATGCCAACAGAATCAAATGACAATTGGTAATTGGTGTTTTCAAAACTATATATAAAGCCCCTTAGTCCCTCCATGCATTAATCTTTCAATCATTTCACTTACTAGTTTAACACTACTGCAAAACAAACGCTAACTAACATCAATGGCGGATAGGAATGGAGCAAGCATTGGTGAGAATTTTGAAACTTTCTTCAATGGCTGGCTCATTCGCCAGGAAAACTTCCTTGAACAACTTGTTCAAGCCTCACATCCCAGGAAGGGCATGAAATCGAACGGCAGGAAAGCTTGATTCAGGAAGTCCTGTCCCACTACGAACAATACTTAGAAGAGAAATCCAGGGAAGCGAAAGAAGATGTGTTCCTCTTCTATTCTCCTCCATGGTTAAGTTCTTTCGAGAAGACTCTCCTCTGGGTTGGTGGGTTTAAGCCATTCTTTCTCTTTAAACTACTCTCCAACTCAGTAACGATGTTAACCCTGGAACAAGAAGAAACAATGGAGCTAGTTAAACACGAGACTAGCAGAGAAGAACGAGAATTGACAAAGGCAATGGCGACGATTCAAGAGAGCGTGGCAACTCCTCCGCCGTTGAACCTGGTTAGGCGTTCTGGGAGACTGGTTGATGGTGAAGCGTTAGACCTTGAGTCGGCCATGGAGACACTAAAGGTTGGGATGCTAAGGACACTGGAGAGAGCTGATAAACTCCGAGGCTCGACTTTGAGGAGGGTGATTGAGATACTGAGTCCAGTCAAGAAAGTGAAGTTTCCAGCTGCTTCTGCTGAGTTTCAGCTTAGAGTCAGGAAATGGGGTTTACAGAAAAACCAACAAAGAGAAATAGAATTGGGATGATCAGCCTGCAGGGCTTCCTGGAACTTTCTACATAATTAATTTGTCAGAATTTGCAATGATGAATTTTAAAGCCTTTTTTTGTCTTGTAGTGATTGAATATGGATCAGAACTGCATCCTCAAATCAAAGAATGCTAACAAAATGATCATCTGTCTGGGTGCAAGTTTTTTTTTCCTGTTTACTTGGAATTTGATATATTATGACAATGATTTTTGTTCGTTTGGACTAAGGATTTTACATTAACTTTATTTCCATTTCCCCCTCCTTTTTGAGTCATTTATCAGGTAATCATCTCAAACTCACAGGAATCACAACTGGAAACAGAAGCAAATTGTTTCTCTCAGGAAACTCTCATTCGATTTCCTGGACAGTAATTGTTTTGGACTTAAAGAACCTCAATTTCAGCCCATTTGTTTTCAGCTCCAGGATTTGAGCCCACTTGAAAAGAATGTATTATGTATGTGGTTAACGAAGCACTAGATGGCACTACCCAATCTACACTATCTATTGAAAAAAAATCCTCAAAGAGTTGTTTTAGAGACATTTATCTGAATTTGATTGGTGGGTTCTTTAATTATAATGGGTTTTAATCATTTTTTTACAGAGAAAGCTGGACTTTACATTCTTCCTTAAATGAATGGGCTCTACACATATGATCCAGTTACAAAAGGAAAAAATAAGAATCTGCTTTTGGTTTTGAGAAATAAGGAATAAAATGCAGCCTTGACTTCCAACGACTTTTATTGACATGAAAAGCTGCCGTTTATGCTGTTCATGCTTGACAATGTAGGCCACAAATTAGCAATTCAAGTCTCATATTTGTCCTTTTGGAAGGAATTCGTCAATTTCTCATAACTAAACATAAACTTTCTCTAAAACCCATAATTTCCTGCAATGGGAAGGAAGAAAAATGAAAGATTGAAGGATTGCTACATCAGAGTATGCTGAGTAACTTATTAAAAGCTATATCAATTAGTCCCTCTCATCAGATTTTAGTTTAACTTAATATTTTGTTATTTTGATAATTCATTATAAAGTTAATTACATATTTATATGAAACATATTACTGAATTATAATGAACTTTTGACTATATTTATACAATCTGATGACTATTATAATTTTTTAACTTCATTATGATGAAAATTAAACAGATTCATTTGAAATATTTTTAAATTATTTATCATAATAAACTTTTAAATTTGAATTTTTGGTATATGCTTAATAATTTTGATCAATTTAATGATATTTATATAATTTAATTTGTATAAAAAAATTTATATTTTATACCACCCGACAGAGCGAGGAAGGACATTAGTATAATTTATTTCGATAGAAAATTATTACCAATTACAATAATTCATGTCGAAAGTTGAAACACCCAATTTAAAAAATAAAAAAAAATGGATCATTTCACAGATTATATGAAAACATGGTTTTTGTTAAATTTGACAATTCATGTTTTAATGTTGTGTTTTGTGTCGTGTTTGATACGTAAAAAGATATAAATTATTAAAATATAAATAAAACATGAATTATAAAATATATTTAAATTTTAAATATGAAAATAATAATTTATTATACATATTATATGTGACACAATACGATTAATACATATACAATCAATTTATTTAAATACGATATAAATAAATATGGATATATAAAATAGATACAACTAATACAAATATACACAAAAATACAATTAAAATGATAAACAACTATGAATTATCCATCATTTACAGTTTACAAATTACAATTAAGTAATAGCCAAAAATTCTTGAAGACACTAAACAATAGTCAATAACTTATGCCTTATTACACATTTACATAGTACAAATTACATTACATCAAGTCCAAGTCTCTAACCTTCATTAGTGGTGTTCCATTAAAGACATTAAACAATAACTTTACATAAAAATATAATAATGTCTCCAATTCATTTCATACTGTATAATATATATTTTAAATAGTAAAATAATTCATTAGTATCCAAGTGTAGATAGTAGATACCAACATATGATCAAGCATCATACTCGTTCAACAAATAAAGTATACCAACCTATCAGATCAATGTATTCAAAATAAATAAATAAAAATATGAATATGAAAATATAATAACCATTTATGTATATATGATAAAAGGTTTATTTCAAAAGCTATATTTTTTATGCTTTTTATTTTTTTTGTTTTTTCTTATATATAATATTAATATATTGATACTAAAATTATTTTTTAATATATAAATATTATTATATATTTTCAATAATTACTTAATTAGTATGATTTATTTGCAAAATATCCTAATGACTTATTAAAAATATTGAAAAATATCAAATTCATATATTTATGTTACTTATAATAATTTTTTATGCATTATAATATGATTAAAATAAATTACATATTTTAATTATCATGAGTATACTCATATACATATGATTTAGAATAAATTATATAATTTATTATAATTAATATGGGTATAATATGATGTGATTTAGATTTTAGAATAAAATATATTAAAAAGTCATTAAGATGAGTATATACATTACATTATAATAACACCTTATCATGTCATATAGAAATATAAATTATATAATCTTTTATCATTATAAATGTTATTTAGAATAAATATGTTATGTTTAATTTCAAATGTATAATCTTTGTCATGTGATTTATAATAAAATATTTAAAATAGGTTTTTGAAATGTGTATTTACAGTAATAATTTATAAGATAAGTTTTAATAATATTGTATCATGTAATATAAAATAAATTATATAATTTTTATCATTATGCATATTATTTAGAATATGCATTATTTTTAATTTCAAATGTATAATCTCTTATTTTAATTCTTATGATTTTAAAATAATCACATATCATGATTCATGTTATTAAGATGATCATATAGTTTTTTATCATTATAAATGTTATTTATTATTAATATAATATATTATTGTATATTCATGTGATTTGAATTTACTTTATTTGATCAATTACCATAATGTTGGATGTTATTTGTTATTAACAATTAAGTCACATTATCTTTTTCAATTCTTTTTTTAATAAAAACTTTTTTAATCTTATTACAAAAAGTTACAAAGAATAATATATATTTAATATATTGAGATATATATATATATATATATATACATGTAATACATAAATTGTTAATATAAAAAGACTAGCATATTAAAAAGTATAAAAACATTTGATGCCAATATAATATGCATTTAATATATATATATATATTTAAATTTTAATATATACATCATTAATATAATAATCATAAATATAAACGTAACTATAGTAGTTTTTAGTATTAAATCTAAAATGATAAACTTCTAAAGATTAAAGAATGAAATAATGATGTATTCGTACTAATATTATTATTTATATTGTATTTATTTATTAATATAAAAATAATTTTATAATAATTATTAAATGAATATCATAATTAAATGTTTAAAATAATCTTTATATGGTATTAAATAGTTAATTAGGCATCATAATTAAAAAATAAAAAATAAAAATAATCTTTATATATTTATATTAAATTAAAATAAATATAAAAATATATTATACGTGTTAAACATGTTAAACGTGTACCCGTGAAATAATTAAACTAAAAGTATTTTTCATATCGTGTCACATGTTAAATATGTATTCATGTAACATATTTTATTTAAATATATCTTTTGTATCTTACACTTATTTAGATGTGTCAACACTTATAATACACGAATTATGCCGTATCAAAATTTATGCCAACACAAATAAATATAAAATATATATTTTTAAATATATATAATTTTTTTCATATTATTTTATATTATATCACCATGCCATATCTAAATCAACTCTAACTTTTTTTTCATCTTTAGCCTTTAACGACCTTCCACCAATCCCACTCCCCCGTACGATAATTAAGGATGGACTAAAATAATGAAGTCATTAAGGGTTAAAAATCAAGATAGTAAATCATTTTTATTTGTTTAATTTAATTAAGTTACACAACGAAAATACTATAATTTTTTTTTGTTGGTATTTATAGTTTTCATGATTTAATCAATGCTAACTAAAACTAATAGTCTAAGATCATATTGATCTTAAAACTTGAATAATTGGATTTATTTTTGCTTATTTTGCGTATTATATACTTTTTTCTTACTTAATTTGTACCATTGAAGTCATTTTCAAAAGAAATTAGTAAATTTCTGCCACTTACAGAATAGTTGGAACATTGAATGTTGACTAAGTTATTTTTGCACTAATAATATGAATGTAATAGTCAAATTTGGACAGTGACTACATATAATTTTATTCATTAACAAGAGTACCTTTACAAAATTTTCTTGGTTAAATCTAACATAATCAATGAGAAAATTCTCCATCCAGATAAGATATGTGGATTCTAATAAATGGATCAGAAATAATTCATTAATGTGGAATTAAATATCAAGTTAACAAGTGCCTACAGAGACTAGTTAAAGGAATCGATATTGCGATGAATAAATCATAAATGAGCCATATATGGGTTTTGGGCTTCTGGCAACAAATTTTCATGGTGAATTATGAGCCATGCATGATGTGTCAAACTCCAACGTTCAAACTTTACATGACAATTGATGAGGTTTCCTGAATTGATTTTTTTTTTTTCTCTAAAATGGTCCCGGTGGCCTTGGGTCAAGTCAAAAAGACCATCTCATGGATGTTGAAAGATTATAGTATTTTAGCTAATGCTCTATAATTTTGGTGCCATAATTCTGAAGCTGCTGTAATCAACATGAAAATGAAAGGAAAAAAGAAACCCTGAAAAAGGTCAGTTAAATCATTCTCCATCGTTGTGAAATTTAAAATGCGGACTTTGAATCGACTGTTGAAATTAGACGACAAAGGGGCCACAGCCACAGTTAAAAGTGATTTTCCAGTACCAGCAATCGGGAAATGTTTTAATAATAACAAGAATAAAAAGTACTAGTAGGTTGAATGCATTTTGTGTTAAAAATTTCAAAGAATTTCCTTGAGAGATGAATGATTGTCTCCTTCTTTATTGAACGGTCCCTGTTCCCAAGTCATAAAGTCATTGACAACTTCGTTTCCCTACAAAAGACTTTGAACATTTGACTCAGTCAACTTTTGTCATGGCAATTGGCAAATCGCAATAGACCTACAAAGCACTCTTCAAGTTTAAAATGGCATGCTCAGGAAAATCATTTCCCCTCCGCCCAAGCAAATCATCTTTTAATAATACAAAAAAGCAACAGCATACATCAATCAAAAAGATACCAGTGTAGGA